CCCCTCTGAACCCCTGGCCTGAGGCAGGAATGCAGGTTTAAGTTCTCAAAAAGGAGTGGAGGATGTTTTAAAGAGACAGAAAATATTTTCGCCATTTTTTTCCAGGCCATTTCCTCTGTTACATATTCACCACTGTCAGTATTTCCCTTCTGTATCTATGGGAGGACGGGTGACTACTCTAATACAGTAGCTCTTCCCATAGGCTACACGGGGGTTCCACAGCCCAGTGGCTGCCTGGCACATGTAGTTAGCACTACTGTTATTACCAACAGTTAACATGTCCTGTTCATTTACTGTCTGCCAGGGAAGGTGTCAAAGGCTTTATATTCATTCTCTGATCTCCTAATCGAATACTTCTAGTAAGAGCTGTTATGATTAACTAGCTCCGTTTTTCTGATAAGGAAACAAGTTCAGAGAGCTTCAGAATCTGGCTGTAGGTCACCCAGAAATAGTACAGTAAGGAATCTAACCCCAGTGGTCTGACTCTGGGGTCAGAATTTGAACCCAGTCCTCTATTTGACCCGAGCCTAGTAACACACAGCTGCCTCAAGGGAATATAATATAATCTAAGGAAAAGACACTATGAAGTTTCTTATATTTTGGATGAATTTCCTTTGTGCTCGTCCACCTTTGCCCCAGTCTGGAGCTGAGAGTGTGTGTGCAATCTAACCTCAGTTAGGCCAGAGGAAGCTTGTTTGAGCAGATAATAATTTTAGAAGTGTTTGGCACAGATTTGCCTGAGCATTGAGGAAAATCTTAATGTTAAAAAAAGACATTTCCAGATCAAAGCTGAGGAAGGTTGGGGCTGAGGGTGATGGAGCATTTGCTTCTAAGAATTTAGATTCTTGGAATCTCAGAAAAAGGGGAAGAAAAAGGAAATTAAAAGATAGGAAGGCAGGATTTTGAGAGGATGTGCCTGAATACTCTCCATTCATCCTTTCTGTTTATTATAAGACCAGAAAAAGTTCTTGAAAAAAAAAAAAGATTAGTATATATTAAATAAAGGGAGGAAAAAAGAATCTCTTTAGGCAAATACTTTAAACTCCACCTTATAGTAAATTTTGTTATCAACTCTCTTGCTGTTTATAGCTTACATTTTTAAAAATATTTTCCTTTAGTACACATGTAAAGTACTTGATTCCCAATGATTGCAGATAAGCAATGAGAAGATGAATGTAAGAAGAGAATCTATAAAGGTACCTTTCAACTTTGGTGCTTGTATTGTTCCTTCCCTAATCATTTAGTAGATTTAACAATTAGTTTTATCTTTCCTTATGCATTGAACATTCTAGTGGACACAAAGAAAAAGCCAAAAAGCATGTAGCAGGAAGGAGATGAAAGAGGAGAAAGCTTGGAAAATTCGCACACTCTATTAAGGGCTCCTGAATGGATTTAGCCTGGCAAATTTCCTGCCTGTTTTTGTTCATTACACTCCATTCAAACTGCTCTCAAAGGCTCCCTTTTGGTCAAATCTAGGATCTTTCTCATGCTAATCTTCCTGGATTCAGCATTCCTTTCAGTATTGATCATATCCTCCATCCTCAAATAATCCCTTCTATAGATTTCAAGCCCCAGAGCTTTCTTTCATCAAGGTAGAAGACATGTCACTTTAATTTCCCCTTGAGCCTTTTAACCATGCGGCATCTTGTCTGATTTAGTTCCTGGCCCTGCTATCCCTAGAACTTCTCTCTTGAGAAGGTTCCCTAACCTCAGTGATCTCCGACTGTTATTCCACAATATGATTTGATCACTCTTCTTTCCAGTGTTGACCCAGCTCTGGATCCTTACCCAGTTTCCTGTTGCTAGCAGGTTTCCCCCTTACATCACTGTCATTATTGGAACTGGAATGTGATTGAAATCGAATTAATCATTCAATATTCCCTGGCCTTATTCCTTATACTTTTTGGAGAATTCATAGAGAGTTGATCAAAACTAATGAACTTAAATTTAATTTTTAGAAAACAGGCTCTCTTCTTTCTCATGTAGGGGTTAACACTGCTTTATTCAGTCACATCTATCAACCTTAAACAATGATATTAAGAAAATATGATGGACACCTGGAAGTATAGGTTCAAGTTGCCCCAAATACGCACTCTGACTAGCACCAGTTATAAGTGGATTTTTAAAGAAAAAAGAAGAGGCAGTTTCTAAGTTGTTTACCAACAAATTCACATTAAAATGACCTAAATTTCTGAAAGTAGACTCTGATAGGAAAAAAAAAAAAGAAATAAAATATCATAAGCTATTGATTGGCTACACATTGTTCTTTGTATCACAGATTCCAGGAACATAAAGATAATGAGTGAGACAGCAAGTCAAGAACAAAATGCCTCGAAACAATTGCTCTTTGAGGCCAGTTATGGTGACTTACATCTGTAATCCCAGAACTTTGGGAGGCTGAGGCAGGAGGATTGCTTGAGTCTAGGAGTTTGAGAGCAGCCTGGGCAACATAGGGAGACCCTATCTCTAAAAAAAAAAATTAGTTGGGCACAGTGGTCCTAGCTACTTGGGAGGCTGAGGGGGGAGAATTGGTTATGCCCAGGAGTTCGAGGCTGCAGTGAGCTATGATTGTACCATTGCATTCCAGCCTGGGTCACAGAGTGAGACCCTGCCTCAAAAAAAAAAAAAAAATGCACCTGGGAAAAGATAGAGGGGTGTGGGCCTGATAAATTTTGCATGGCTCACAAAGCTCACAGCCTGTTCTGAGACTTTTCTTACCTGGTCATTCAGGTAAGAAAAGCTTTCCTCTTTCTCCCCATTTCTGCACTCTAATCAGTAACCTCAGGGAATCATTGCTGTGGCCAAATCTCTTGTGCACCCTTACCCCGAGGTTGCTGTACCTCTTTTCCATGATCACCCATACTCATTGGACTAATTTGGTAGCTGAGCCCTTGTCTCTTCTCGCAGCTGGTGTCCTAGCTCCTGTGTAAAGGAGAGACAGGGGTTCTTCTGCTTGCTTGAATGTCATTGCATGGTCTAGGGCTTTGAGTAAGTGGGACAAAGATTCAGACTCAGCAATCTTTTTTTATCATATAGACATTTCTATTGAAAGTCTGCCTTCCTTTCTCTTTGAGAAACTAGAGAAGTTTCCTGTGTTCATGCTCAGTATTTATTGAGAGGGCAAGTAGAAAGCTGTTTTCTCTAGTGTCTTTTCCTAGGCTTTTGATTTTTATTTTTGCTCTATTCTTTGAGAAAAAGACCTCTTTCTAAATCCTGAATGCCTTTTCACATGATGTTTTATAATTTATGAAACATAATGCTGTTTTGTAATCTATTAAGTTTGTGCACATTTTCTTTTTTCATTGATACATAATACTTGCACATATTTATGGGGCACCTGTGCTATTTTGTTACATGCACAGAATGTGTAATGATCCAGTCAGAATATTTGGGGTGTCCATCACCTCGAGTATTTATCATTTCTATGTGTTGGGAACATTTCAAGTCCTCTTCTAGCAAGATATACAATACATTGTTGTTCACTATAGTCACCCTTACTCTGCTGTTGAACATTAGAACTTATTCTTTCTATCTAACTCTATGTTTGTGCCCATTAACTAATCTTTCTTCATCCTCTTCCCGCACCCACATATAACTAAACCAAACTGGGGTCCACTCACCTGCCATAGCCAAGCTGAACACTGAAGCTGAGAGTTGCAGCCCCAGAAAAAGGGCTTTATTTGCAGGGTGCTTTGCAAGGAGAGTGAGCAGCTGATGTTTAACATTGAGCTCCCTAATGTTGCATAAGTCAGGGTTTTAAAAGGCAGGGTTACCTTTTAGGTAGGTGGAATTGCAAATCAATATGTAGAGGTTATACATCCGTCTGGCCCCAAAAGGCAGGATATCCTGAAGTTGGGAGAAGGGTACAAGTGGATTCAGAGATCCTTGGAATATTGAGACGGGTGTGACAGGCCCCTCAGAGGGATATTTAAAACAAAGAATGGAGAGTCTGATCTGAGTTCAATTCCTCAGTTTCCTCTTACCTGAAAAACAACTCAAGAGGATATGTTAAGGTGCCATCTTTTCATTTCTATAGGGAACCAAGACACCTCATGACTCTGGCAGACTTGATGGGCCTTTGCTCTCATCAGCTTGCTCATTCACTTGAGAAGTGAATGAGCCAGGTATCCGGGACTTCCCCTGAAGAAACTCAAAATTTTCCTTTATTTCCATGCTTGAAAGTCCCAGCAGGTCCCTCAGAGGGTCCCTGTTTGGTTTCACACATACCCTTCCCAGGCTCTGATATTCGTCATTCTACTTTCTACCACTAGAAAATCAACTTTTTTAGCTCCCACATATGAGTGACAACATGTGATGTTTGTCTTTCTGTGCCTGGCTTATTTCACCTAACATAATGACCTCCAGTTCCATCCATGTTGCTGCAGATGATGTCATTTCATTCTTTTTTTTAATGGCCAAATAGCATTCCATTGTGTATATATGGAAGAAATATATATATATATGTATATGTATATATATATAAAATATATATTTATATAAAATATATAAAGAAAATGCCACATTTTCTTTATCCATTTGTCCACTGAGGGACACTTAGGTTGATTCCATGTCTTTGCTATTGTGAGTAATGCTCTGATAAACATGCAAATGCAGGTATCCCTTTGATATACTGATTTCTTTTTCTTTGAATAAATACCGAGCAATGGCATTGCTTGATCTTATGATAGTTCTGTTTTTGGTTTTTAAAGAAATCTTCATATTGTTTTCCATAGTGACTGTACTAATTTACATTCTCACCAATAGCATATACGAGTTCTCCTTTTCTCTGCATCCTTGTCAGCATCTGTTATTTTTGTCTTTTTAATAATAGCCATTCTGACTTGGGTAATATGATATCAGTCAGAATGTAGTTTTGATTTTCATTTCTCTGATGATTAGTAGTGTTGAGCCCTTTTTCATATACCTGTTAACCATTTGTATATCTTCTTTTGAGAATGTCTATTCATGTTCTTTGCCCACTTTTTAATGGGATTATTTATTTTTTTACTGCTAAGTTGTTTGAGTTTCTTCTATATTCTATTAGTCCCTTGTAGGATAAATAGATTGCAAATATTTGCTTTGATTCAACAGGTTGTCTCTTGACTCTGTTGATCGTTTCCTTTGCAGTGTGAACATTTTCTTATATTGATACTGTAGGGGCCAAAGGAAATTTCCCTCTCACCTTCTGAAAATGTGACAAAAAATCAACTCAGAAAAGGCAGATTAAGTGGAGATAAGGCATACAAATTTATTAACATGTATGTGGGGAGAACCACAGAATGATTACCCACCCCTGGGTTCTGAAGCCCTGGCAAAACTGCTTATGGGAGGGGGGAGAAGAGGAATTCTGTTGAGGGGATTACTAGGGAGAATGAATGGATCTGGAACAGAGAGATTGACTTGTAAATAGTTCACTTTGGAATTTCAGTGATCCTGAGAGGCCTGAGAGGCAGACATTATCTTGTGTAAGGGGCTGTTCAGATATGGTGACATTCTTGGTCTTACAGAGAGGAGAAGAAAAAAAACAGTTGTTCTCCTTGTTGAGTCTAAATCTTAGGTAGGTAAAGGAACTTCAACTTCATTATGTACTTTGGGAGAGAAGGTCAGAGAAAGCCTGAGGTTTCTTTAGTTCAAAGCACCATAGTTTGGAGTATCAGTTTCTGAGCCTCAACAATGCAAAGATTTTGTGCCATCTGTCTGCAGAGAAGATAGTAATACATCCATGGAGGAAACCAAGACTCAGAATAGTTAAGTGACCTGTCTAAGGCCATCCTACTAGCAAATGGCTGAGCAGAGGCTTGAACTCTAACATAAGGTCATAAGGTGTCTCCCTTCTGGAGTATTTTACTGCTCGACCTTCTTCAATAAGTTATCTCCATTGATTTATCATCTAGGAAAAAATTGAATTTAACTGTATCTTCTTTTCCTTGGTGCCTCCCAACCTGGGTCATTGTATGTATTCTGAGCATGTATTCTTAGCTTTGCATTTGGTGTTTTGGGAGACCCCTACTTACTTGTCTTTGATGCCTTATAATGCTTACTACATAGAATCATAGATTCTAAGTGTCCAAAGACACTTTTGCTAGAAGAGATTTCAACTCCATTTACCCTAATCCTGACACTTAACGGATAGGGAACTGAGATCCAAAGAGTGTTTGTGATTTTCCAAATGTGTCCAGCTTGTTAGTGGTTAACACTCAGTTCACAGCCTAGGTTGATTGCTTTTAGATTTTTTCCACCGTTAAATCTGGGTTAAAATGAGCACGTTCTTGGAAAGAAAGGATCATCGAGTGGTTATGAGCTACTAACACCAATGTATGAATTAGGCAATCAGATCCTTCCAACTGAGAGCTAATTAGAATTGCCGAACCATCTGGCCCACCTGTCCCATAATTGTGGGCTGATAAATGCCTAATCTAGAACCTCTGAATGTTAACTGGCCAACAATATAGACTATATCATTTATTTCGAAAGATTCTTTCAACTTTTCTCATTTCAATTTCTCTCTATATAATGAAGTACTATCCACTATACATGAAGATGGTGGGTTTACTTTATTTCTTCCTTCCTCTCTCCTAATACTCTCTTCTGTCAAGGCCTTGGCCATACAAAATATTAAGGTTGAGGAAGCTGTCGATGACTAAGGAAAAATCTAAATGAACTGGCTTGTTTGAGAATCCAACCCATGATGCTAGTGTCAGGAACACTCTGAAGACCATCAGGAAATGAAATTAATCTAGCTTTGGGGGCCTGGGGTGAGAGACAAGCCCAGGCTCTTTGTATTTCCAGAAGGTGGGAGTCAGTTGGAGCTAATAAATTCTGGGTTTTCATTAGATCAAACTTCTTTCAATTCTCCATCACCACAATCCCCTTGGGGGTAGCCACCAGGCCTGCTTCAAGATGAGATGAGCACCAAGATGTCATAAGACATTTTGGGGACCTACTAGTCACACATATTTTTAACTGATGGCTTTTTCCTGACACTGTGATGTGCCCATCTTGCAGCAGAGCCTTTTACCCTGTCTCCATTGCTCTTTGAGCCTTTCATATTGTCAGGTTCTCTTAGACTGGAGGGTATTTGTGCCGACTTCCTATCTCGAAGTCTCTCCAGTGATTTAGAAGTTTACACAAGGTGGGGTGGAAGCGCACTCTTAATTAGCATAGAAAAAGTAGGAATGCAAGCAGGACCTCCACAAAATGCTGGAGTTCCCAGTTTTATTCACCGAAGGAGAGAATCTATTCAGCTTTCAAGATTTTAAACACAAAATCACATAGAACTTGATTCTCAAAACATAGCTTCTTAGCATATTATGCTTAGACTGTCAGATAAGTTTTTGTCATTCACAGGCTTTCACCAGAAGATGAATTTGTCTCCTAATAAATTAGCAACAGATCAGATGCAGTGCAGGGACAGAAGTATGAGAATGTCATGGTCCTTGATATTTCAGTTACATTTGTTCTGCATAAGATTTAATGAAAATTGTAGCAGAGTTTTCTTTGCGGGTACTGCTCCTTTTAAAATGGAAACAAAAGGTTCCTTTGTTAAGATTCACCTTTGATAGCAGGCTGTAGAAAATGCTGTGTCAATCTTGACAACTGAGCAAGGCTATTTTTGTCTCTTCAAGAATTGGAAGTAAGGTGTTGTGAAAAAGGCAAGAGAGAATCACAACTTATGAAGGCTCACTCAGTTCCATGGCTGGACATATTCGTGAAGAATACTGTAAGAGAAAATTCTTGGATTGGTTTTAAAGTTGCATCCAATAAAACTTTCTTAGGAAGAGTGTGAGTTGAAGGAGAGGCTCTAATTGTAGAAGTCTTGCTGATATTCTGTTAAAGAAAAAAAGGTTGTTGTTTCCTACCACATTTCATTTGGGTGAGTGGCTTGAATTGAACCTCTTTTGTCCCATATATTTTTTTAAATTGGATTTTGCATTTGTTTTGTTAGTTATTGTTGTGCTTTGTTGGAGAGGATTATCCTCATGAGGAAGTAATGGGTAATATTGAATTTCAGTTGTTCTAAACCCACACATACCTTGTCTTTTCACTGTCTGCTTGCCAGGGGACCAAGAGTATGCTCCTTGTAACAGAGGTAGGTTGGGCTACATTTTTACAGATGGACCCTTCAGGTTTGCTGTGAGCTAATAAGTTGTCACAGCATAGAGTCCAGAAGGGCCAGGAAGTACTTTGGAGTTTGCTGAAGGAAAACAAAGATTCACAACTGAGACTATCCTGATTTGATCTCAGATTATAATATCCTCTGATGCCAGGAGATTTATTCTTTTCGTCATTTGTTTCCTTACTCTTTGGTGGCATTTGAACTTTCCTAACACAAAGCTAGTACAGAACTCTTTGGCAGACAAGTAGAGAATCATATATATATATATTTTTTTTTTGCATGACTGATCTAGGAAGTTATGACAAAGTTGTTCATGTGAATAGTTAATCTAAAAATACTACTCTTAGTTGATTTTTAAAATGTAAATTTTAAACTTTTTTTTCCTGTTTCCCAGAAAAATTAGAATCTGAGCTAACACCTTTTTGTGTCGTCTGGTGTCTAGGATTATTTCTTTCTGTTATCTTTTGAGATTTATGCTTAGTTGCCTTGAAAAAAGATTTAAATACTTTTTATTGCTATTTATTCATAATGCATCAGTCCATGTTTTGAGTATCACTCCATATCACATTAATCAATCATAGAGCATACTTTGATGTTCAGTAATAGCTAGTGATTATTTATTTGGCTAGGATTCAAAGCAATAACATTAAAAATGCTTCAATTGCTTAATTTTTCTAAAGTGAGACTAAGAATCCAGAATGATTAAGTAGAGTGGGAGCCATTGACATTATCTGGTTTCAACTATCACATTTTAGAAAGGAGAATACTAAGCCTGAAGAGTCTTAAATGAAGTCATAGGACTTACATGTGGCAAAGAGAAGAGAGAGAAAGAAAGATTCAAAAGTTAAGCAAACTTCTTCATTGAAGGAATTCTTTGGGCTGCCAGTATGTTAATGTGTATTGTAAATCTCCAAGATGGAGAAAATGTTTAATTCTGGACAAATTTAATAAGCAGCATTTCTAAGTTGATTGGCCAAGGGTCCCTTTTTTGACAGAGCACCGGGCAAACCTAGTGTTCCTCCACTACCTAGAAATAGTCTTCCTTAGTTTGCCCTATCCTTGAACCAAAATATGTATTTTTTACTAAATGAAACAATCTCAACAACTTAAATTTTACATGTTGTTGGCATCCTTGGTGTATGTCTAGATAAAAAGATATAAAGATGCAATGGAAATGAGAACTCAGAACACTCATGGGAATTGTATATATATGAATGGCAGTAAAAGTCTTTGAGATTGTTTTTGCCCCGAATCTTCAGGACATAAATTAGATTTGATTTCTTAAAAAAGTCAACTTAGGTGGTAAGGGAGTGAAAGACTCCTTAACTATCAATAGGTAAGTGATAAAATGAAAGCAGAGAGATTTGAAATGCTTCATTGCAAGGAGAATGAAATTCTTAAATGAAGTAGATACGTATGGAGGATGAACAATGAACCTCTCCTTGCTTCTTCTCACTTGACAAGGGACATTGAAATTATGATAGCAATTATTGTATCACTTCCAAACAATGTGTTTCTAGAGTTCAGATTTTATGTAAAACTAACTATATTCGCTTCTATAAAAAAAAAGGCACATCCAATGAAAACATTTGTTAAGTTGTAGTCAAAATTACTAGACTGAACAGGATTCATTAGAGACTTGTTACTGTCCTCCCAATGCGTGTTAGAGCTGGGTAGATGAGATTTCTGTTGATGACACCACCTGTGTCCTCAGGACTCAAATAGTGATTGGCACAAAGTAGATTTACATTGATTGATTTTCAAATGTTTATCCTAAAGCCTGGGATAAACTGCACATAGTCATAATATCTTTTATATATTGATGAATTAAGTTTGTCTATATTTTGTTAATAAGTTTTGTGTCTATGTTCATGAGACATACTGGTCTACAATTTTCTTTTCTTAAAATGTCTATATCAGATTTTGGTACCAGGGTTCCACTGTCCTCTTATAAAGAGTTGGGTTCTATTGTCTCCTCTATTTTCTGAAAAGTTTTATAAAGCTCCTTGGGTCTGTTTGATGCTCCTTAGGTTTTACTTCTCCAAGGGTTGAGAAAGAAATTTAAATATACTTATCATTCCATTTCCTGAAATGTTTACCTACCATATAATAAAAGCTCATGAGTAAAAATAATTTTGCATCATCTGCAGATTGTATTTATGTATATATTATAATTACCTTCTCCTAAAGCCAGCATAGGTATTTGAAGCATCAGAACAGTAATCCAAGGGATACATTTATTCACGTACATATATTTTGGTTTGTTTGAGTAATATGTAGTATCCTAGGAAGTGTTTCTCTGAGAATACAGTATGATAGCCAGCTTTAAGTAACTTTTCATATTACTTCATAAATTAGAATACCTAAAAATAAAATGTCTAAAAATCCTACTGTCACTCTTTTTAATCAGTGTGACAGGAATTAAGAATATTAAGGTTTATTTAAATTCTCCAATGTCCTGAAATCTTTATTAGATCCAGGCTTTCTAGGCTTCTTGAAAACAAAGCTTTTCCTCAGGGTTGTTGAGGCCAATTACATTCATTTAAGGCTCTTCTTTTTGTATTGTCTCCAATCACTTTTCCCCCAGAGTATAATGAGCTGTGAAGTGTTAAAAAGAGAAAAGAAAAAACCAAGGCCTTGAATTAGACACAAATTGGAATAATAAGTCTTGAAATAGTTGAAAACAATCATTTCTTTTATTTTTGCTTCTTTGATACATATGAACTATAGTCAACTTCTAGGATTTATAGTACACTCAGGAATATTTTGCTTTTGTTTTCTTCCTTTTCCACTTTGTTTTGCTATTGCTTAGATAACAACATATGAATAAAAATGAGAAAAAACATGTAGATTGAGACTCAAAACAGCAGAATGAAAGGCACACAGGGGCAATTTATTCTAAATTAGTGTTCTGAAGGGAATAGTCTCATAATTTATGGTTTATATTTCTGGAAAAAATGTTTGAGTCTAAAATATGATTGGCCTCTTTAAATAGGGGAGAATGAGAATAGATATTTTTATGTTGTGTTGAAATTTTGGAGCCATAGAAATGATTATAGGACTTCTTGAAAGCCAAGTGTGTGTGTGTGTGTGTGTGTGTGTGTGTGTGTGTATGTGTGTGTGTCCATCAGCAGGGAGTGCATTCAAACACAATCTTGCTAACCTTGAAGTGTCACACCTGAAGCCAGTTGTTGCTTTTGAAGGCTTTTTTATTTAAATAGGATGTTTCTCCCTTCATATCTCTATTTAATTTTGTGCTTCTCATACACTGATAAAAATAAGACACAACGCATGCTCTGGTTAGGCTTAGAAAGTGATGATTGATAGCAAGAGAAAACCCTGAGCCAGAGAAAGGGAATTGAGAAGGAAAAGGGTCCGGGAGGGGCCATCTTTTTTTCTTTACATAGAAAACATCTCAGGATGAGAGTGGAAACAATGTTTTGAACAAATATATTAAAAATGTTTAGTAGGCACATTTTTCAGTCATGTTATGATGAGAAACAGATGTAGATGCTGTTAAATCATGTCAAATATGAACTGCCTGTGTACCCTGTGTATATGTGTAAATATTTAACTACGAAAACAGTCACAGGAGAACTACTCTGGACTAATCTTGAAAGCAGGAAGCCACAAATTATAGGTCTGAAATTTACCATGCATGGCTTATGAGTCCAAATAAGTAAAACCAAATGAAAAGACTCTGGAAGTTTTATAAATAGTTCATGTTTTTTGGTAAGGGGAGGGAAGAGAAGAGATTAGGAAGAACTTTAATATGCTTCATGCAAGCACAATCAGTACATTTAATTATAAGCAGTGTACTAAAAATAATATGATAGGAATTTAGTGAGGCGTTTAAATATAAGGTATATTGGTTATCACCTTGCATAGGCCAAAGTACTGAGGAATCATAATTCTTTTCAGTTAGGTTCTAAAGTCAGCACATAAGGCAAAAATTACATATATTTGGATTTATGCTTGAAAGTCCCCTTAGAAAGCATCCTGTTTGAGACAGACACACATAGGTCTGCTAACACAGCCCCAAACAGATCCTCCTATCTTCCGAATGTTTCAGGTGATGAGGTTTGCTTTTGATCATGAGCCAAACAAGGGAAAAGGCAATTATTGACATCAGGTACATATTGCATGGAAAGTATATGTTGTTAAAACTATAAGCACACCATGATTCTAGGCAGGTAGAAATGAAACAAATTTGTGCCTTCCATCTCACCTCCAATCTGGGGCATATACTTCTTGAGGGGAAGAGTGGAATGTTTGATTTTGTTTTAAGGGTTTCCAAGTTAAATTTTTATTTCATCAGAATAATATTCTCTAATCACCTTCTGTACTTTATTTTATTGGGAAATGATCTCCATATACTTCAATGCACAGGTCATAAGTTACCAAACTGAACTGGATCCGTTTGCCCATGCTCAGCGGAAATCCAAAACACCGAAGCTCTTGAGTTTTGCAGAGAGAAAGGCTTATGGCCAGGCAGCCAAGCAAGGACACAGGTGTGGGGTTCAAACCTTTCTCCCCTTAAGATCTCTTCAGGGAGAGATCTTGGGGCGGGGAGTAGTTTTGAGGCTGGTTAGTGACCGGCAGAA